ACAAGGGGCCAGACACACGAAGATCTAGGGAGAAGGGAGATCCAGGTAGAAGGATCAACAGTTGCAAAGCCCTCAGGTGAGAATAGGCTCAGCATGTTCTAGAAACAGGAAAATGCCCAGAGTGGCTGCGGAGGATGGGAGAGAGTGGGTGGCAGGAGTCGACGTTGGACAGCCAGGAGGGCAGGTCACCCAGGGCCTTGAAGGCAGGATAAGTGTTTGAGGCTTTGTCAATGGAGACTGGGAAGAGAAGTCATTGGAGGGCCATAGAACACGATACACAGCACCCCTCAGACCATGAAATCAGAAGAGTAGTTTATTCCTGAAGGACAGGCAGCCTGCAGTGTCTTCCTGTCTGGTTGCATCCTACCACATTCCCCTTCTTTCCCCACAATACACACCTATGCTCTGGCCCTGAGAGGTTTAAGCCAGGATTGGCTGTCAATCCCACCTGTTGAAAGAGTCCTTCCCAGCCTCTATGCTCCAGGGCTGTTTGAGGCCTGGCAGACAGTCGGTGTGAGGGTAATGGCCACAGTTGGTGCCAATTTCAAGGACCCCATTACATGCTTGGCACATCTACTGGCATCCCCTGTGGGCCTCAGTTATGGGCCCTCAAACATTTGACCTTCTTTCTGTGTATCAGTCTGAAGTTAGTGACGTCCTCTTCCCCATCACTCTCCTGCCCTAGTCCTTGCCCCAGGTCCAGCTAGGCCAGGATCTATCTCTGCTTTGCTGAGGTGGTAGAACGGAGTTGTGACTTTGAAGGTTTCGGAAAAGTATGAGATCATCCCCCATGAAAACGCCTATTGTTTGGTGTAAAAATCTGACTGGCGCCTTTGTTTGGAGACAGAAGCCCTGGTTCAGGCCTATCTTGCCCCTGTCTGAGAAAGCCAAGGTCAGAGATTGGGGCTTCATCCCTAGGTGCTGTTCATTTTTATCTCCAAACGGATTGTCACTGGGAGTCCTGGCTCAGGAGTCCAGTAAACCTGGTTCCATCCAGTTCTACCATCTATTAGGTTAGTGACCTTGAGCAAGTTAGCTAACATCACTGATCCTCATTTTGCTCATCTCTAACATGGGTGTTGACTCAGGGTGTTAGGAACAAATGCATGTAAAGCCCTTAGCACATTTCTACACTTAATACACGTTAGTGAAAATGAGATGTTATCAGCTGGACACTGCTATTTCAAGTTTTGTTCCTGGAAACACTGTCTCAGAATTTGAGGATAAAAATGAAATTTTTTTGTTGTCTAATGGGATCTCCTGGACCAGAGGTTTTAACCTGGGGTCTATGACTGAACCTCAGGGAGTGTGAAAAACCTGAAATTATTCACAAGTCTGGGGTATCTCTGCCTCTTTGCAAATTTATTGGGAGAGGGCCACAGTTTTTGAGACATTCTTAGAGGGTCTTTGCACCCACAGAGACCTAAGGGTCAGTGAAGGCTGATGCTCAGTGGGCGAGAGGTCATCGAGGTCATTTCTGCTCCTCGAGGAGCCTGGCCTCAGTCAGCCTGCGGACTGTTGGGGTGAAGCAGGAGATGGCGTGGTCAGCGGCCCTCTCGGAAGAGCTGTAGGAGAAGCCATCATGAAGGTCAGTCCCCAATCTGATGTGAGGCTGCCTCTGAGCCTTGGCATTTTGTTTCTTTCCAGGCTGTTTTTTCCACAGTAACTGTATTAGAAACAAGGTCAGAGCTTGCTGGCCATCCTGGGGAACATCCTCCCAGCCTGGCCCAGACCCCTCCCTTGTATTGCATGGAGATGGGAGGGACATTCTGCACCCTGCTTCTTTTTCTGAACTCAGGAATGCTGTCTCCCAGCCATAAGTTAAAAGCTTTGTAAGAGATTTAGAGTCAGAGACTGTAAGTCCTGTGGTTGGCTGGGCCACACTCTGTGCTGGGAGATGGAGGAAGGAGGAATTTAGGGGGTGGCAAAAATCACACTAGAATCCTCACAGCCCAGAGCTACAGTGTTTAGGTGGAGGAGGTGGGCACTGGGTGTGTTGATGTGGGTTTGCACATGGGGTTGGGGGTCAACATTTGAGTCTGGGAAGGAATCCCTAAATAAGTGGGGTGTGAACAGCAATTTGAAGGAAGAGCAGGGACTGACCAGGCAGATGAGGGGAGGTAGGGCATCTCTGCAGGAGGACTCACTTGTGCAAAAAACACGGTGAACAAGCACTAAGTGAGTTCTGGTGTGTTGGTGTGTGGAGCTGGATCAAAGTAGGAGAGAATGGCTGGAGAGGCTGGGACAGGTATGGATGACCACCTGTGGAGCTTAAGGGGTTTGGCCTTTAATCCAAAGGCAAGGCTGTTACAGGGGAGGGACTTGGTGAGCTTTGTGGTTTAGAGCTCAGGGATGCAAAGGTAGCAGAAAGAAAGCACTGGCCTCAACCAGAGGACCCAGTGTCAGCACTGATGTACTGGATGAACTTGGGGCAAGACTCCCCACGTCGCTGAACCTCAGTTTTCCCACCTGTTTAGTGGGATAACAGTGGCATCTGACCACATGGCTCTTGTGATCATCCCGTGGAAATAAACACATCAGGGTCAAGCAGGCCTCAAATGAGGTTGGTATCGGCTTCAGGGGCCCCACTTGGCATCTTTAAAGCAAAGGCCTCAATTCACATAGTTTTGAAGGTTCCTTCTCACACTTTCTGGGAGCCCCTGAGCTATCCTTTTCCTCAGGAGAGATCACTCTGCCCTGACCCACCCTACCGGACCAGAGGACTCTTCTGTCCCTTTATCCCTTCACCCTCTTCACTTCACCACTACCTCTGCCAAGTAGTTTTTGTATTAGCAAGTTATCACACTGTTAAGAACAATGTTGAAAAAGGAAAAAACACCCCACACTTCCTCTACCTCACCATCCCACCACTTGGTGGCACTTTTCTTGTCTTTGCATCAGCTTTTAGCCTTAGTTCCCTTCACCCGCCATCTCCAGCTTCCCAGTTTCCTGCCTTTATCTCTTTTCGTGCCCCCAGACATTTGCTTATGTTGTTTCTTCTGACTGGCATACTCTTTCTCCAAGACCCTCCCTGAAGGCTGTCATCCTCGCCAAGGGCAGGAGAGATGGCCCTCATCCATTCCTCCATCTTTCCCCCTACCCCAGAGCTCTCAGGGTCTGGGCAAGGCTGGGGTGGGGGATAAGATGCAATGGAGTCAGGCCACAGTGAGTGAGCCAAGCATAGTGAATACTAGAATGGAAGGGACAAAAATGGGAGATGCCAGGCTGTGCCCTGCCTCTGGTAATCCAAGTTTGTGTGTGGGTACAACCACAGTCTGACCCCATGGAAATGTGACCAAGACAGAGCAGCTGAGACTAGCAGTTATCCTATGGTTTTCCCACTTGTTCATTTGTTTCTTGGCAGAGTGTGTATGAACTAGGACACACTTTGTGTTCCTATGTTGCAGGCGTGGCCGAGTCCAAGCTTTCTCCTCGGCTTGTTTTAGACTTTCCTGGACATTTCTTAGTCATCCCAGCACTGAGCTATTTTTAGTGCCACCACCTCCTAGGGGACCTAAAATAAAGCTGGCTCAGCTTCCTGGCCCCTCATTGGCTGGAGTGTTGGTCACAGGCTGGGAGATTGGCTGGATTGGAGATAAGCAACTGCTCCCCTACACTGCCCCTGCCGACTGGCTCATCTGGCCTTTTGGGTGAGATCACAGAGACTGGAGCTAACTAGCACTTACCATGTTGAGCCGAGGGCTTTACCAGATTCCCTTAGTGAGGCTTCACAACTACTGGCAACATCGGGGTGACACTCCCATTTTACAGAGAAGGAGGCTGAGGCCCTAAGAAGGCCAGTGACTTGTATCAGATCCCACCACTGCTAATGGTTGTCTAATGGGGTTAAACCTACCTCCTCACTGCTTTGGTTCAGCCCTGTTATCAGGAGAGAGGGGGTCCTCTACAGTCAGAGACAACTATAGAACAACACGTGGTCTGCTATCATGGGATTCTGTGGTGAGATGTGGGCTTCCCTACCTAGGAGGGGCCTAGGAAAGCCAGAGTGGCTCTTATCTGGGGCTTGGGTTTTTCCATCAGGCACCCTTGGGACTGTGGCATCTGTAGCTGGGAGGGGAACTGCCCTCCCCCTCAGAGACCAGAGAAAGGCAGCCCCTTCCAATGGAGGCAGTGCTGGGATGGAGGATATGAAGAGATGACATGTTTCCCCCTCACAGCCTCCATTTCCCCTCCCCACTATTACTCTGTGATCCTCTGAACTCATGTCCCCAACTCTGAAGGGGTCACCCCCATCAATGAAGAAATTCCCCAGAAAGGGCCAAGCTAGGTGTCACCTGGCCTCAAAGAAGTAAACTGCCCCCTTAAGACTAAGGTGGGGGTCACTTGCTGTTTTGTTGCAAGTGGGGCCTTGAGGAGCCATCTCCTCCCCCCCACCCCCCCAAGTGGGTCTTCCTCCACCAGCCAGTAAAGCCCTGGAGCAGTGTTGAGGGACTGAGTGCTGAGTCCCACAGGATGGCGTCGGGGGGGAAGCTGAGGGCTACAATAGAAGACAGTCCACACACAGACATCAGTACTTCCTGGCCTACAAGGTGGGAAGAATAGCAATAACTCTAGCCTTGCAGGTTGTTGAGAGGATTAAATGAAAAGATAAGGAGAGAGTGCTTAGCTCCTCTTTAAAGGCCCATCCCTTCATTGGGCATTGAAGGGGCTGCTCTGACCTTCCTTTGTCCTGGCTCCACCCTCAGCACTGATTCTGTGTGCTTTACCACCCTGGCACCCCTCTGTCTCATCAACCAGAGCTCCTCAAAGGAGGGGCTGAGTTTGGTCTACCTCTGGGCTCCCTGCACTGGTCTGTATTGGGAGGGGTCTCCTACCAGTTCCCCAGGGCCTCTCCATGTTCCCTGGGAGAATGGACCTCAGCAAAGAACTCCCTGCTGGAGGATGCCAGAGAGGGGTGAAGGTCAGTGAAGAGACAGCAGCTGGCTACCTCCTGCTCTTGCAGTACCAACACTTTCCTCCCTGTCTTGCTGGTCTTGCAGGTCTCAAGGAGGCCGGGTGACGCTCCAGAATGGGAGACAAGCCAATTTGGGAGCAGATTGGATCCAGCTTCATTCAACATTACTACCAGTTATTTGATAACGACAGAACCCAACTAGGCGCAATTTATGTAAGTCTCCAGCTCTAGGGCTGGAATGGGACCCCAGGTGATCAATTCAGGTGTTGGGGCAGTGAGTCCAGTTCACAAGTTCTGGCAGCCCTCACCTGGATTTGGCTACACCCTTCTATCTGAGCTTCTGTCCATGGGAGAGGGGGCCTGAGGCCTGGCCCAACTACCTGGTCTGCACATTTTTTTCTGTCATCTTCCACAAGAGTGGAGATCCTGGTACCCTGGGCAGGGTGTTCTGGGCTGGTCATTCCATGGTCCTGGGAGTGTCTCTGTTCCAGACTGGGCAGCAGCAGGCAGAGGTTAGGGCTCATGGTGCCCTCTGGAGGCAGCAGCCATGATCACCATCAGTGTACAGCTGAGCTCTCCTGGATGCCCCAGGTCTGGCTTCCTTTTGGGAGCCAAAAGCCTCTGAATGCTTATGGGAAACAAATGGGGTTAGCTCAGGGAGGGTGGTATGTCCTTTGAGAAACCCGTCTATGCAGGCATTGTTTGCTGCTATTTTAATGGTGTTCATATACACCTATAGCTACTTGTATTTGACCCTGCCTAAGACTCAGTCACAGAAATGTGATTGATCAGGCCATGCCTAGCAGGTCTGCCCAGAACGAGAATGATAGGAGTCATCCAGCATAGCCTCAGAGCCTGACTGGGCTGTGGTCAAACTCTTCTGTGTCTCCCTCCAAAAATTCAGAATCCATTCAGAAATTGTGGAGGGAAGAAAGAGCTCTTACCAGTGGAAGGCCAAATCCCGCACAGGTATTATTTGTCATTATCATAGATAGAGAATTTTTTTTTTTTTTTTTTTTTTTTTTTTGTGAGGAGGATTAGCCCTGAGCTGACATCCAATGCCAATCCTCCTCTTTTTTGCTGAGGAAGATAGGCCCTGGGCTAACATCCATGCCCATCTTCCTCTATTTTATATGGGACGACGCCACAGCATGGCTTAACAAGCGGTGTGTGGGTGCATGCCCGGGATCCGAACCTGTGAACCCCGAGCCGCCGAAGCGGAGCACACACACTTAACCGCTGTGCCACTGGGCTGGCCCTGGATAGAGAATTTTTAAAACTTGAAATGATCTGATTCCAGGATCCTAGCACTCCTGTATTATAGCTTCCTTTTTTTTTTAAGTAAGTTGTTTTTTTGTTTTTTTGGGATTTTTTTGGTGAGGAATATCACCCCTGAGCTAATATCTGCACCTGTCTTCCTCCATTTTGTATATGGGATGCTGCCGCAGCATGGCTTGACAAGCTGTGCGTAGGTCCGCACCCAGGATCCCAACCTGTGAGCCCCGGGCCACCGAAGCGGAATGCGCAAACTTAACCACTACGCCACCAGGCCGGCCCCTGCATTATTGCTTCTTAAAATCATTTAAAACGGGCCTGACCCAGAGAAGAGAGTTAGCGAGATCCTAAAAAAAAGCTCTTTATGTGTGTCATTTCAAATAATCCTAATCACATCCCCTTTGAAGATCAGGAAACTGAGACTCAGAAAAATAAGTAACTTGCCTAAAGTCACAGCTGGTAAGTAGCAGAGGCACTTTTGAGTTCTGCCCCTAATGCTGTGGCTGGGAAGATCTAGAGAGGAGGGGATGATGCTAGTGGGTTGCATGTTACTGGTAGTAAAGGTCCCACGCTAGGCCTTGGGAAGCATTATCAGCCTCCAGCCTTCCCTGACCCCATGGGTGCCCCCATGGTTGCCCCTCAGTGGAACTCAGCCTGGGATCTAGAGATGATCATCAACATAGAATGCTTCCAGGTTATTTCTTTTGAGAAAGATCAGCCCTGAGCTAACGTCTGTGCTGATCCTCCTCTTTTTTTTTGCTGAGGAAGACCGTCTCTGAGCTAACATCTATTGCCAATCCTCCTCCTTTTTTCCCCCAAAGCCCAGTAGATAGTTGTATGTCATAGTTGCACATCCTTCTAGTTGCTGTATGTGGGACGCGGCCCCAGCATTGCCGGAGAAGCGGTGCGTTGGTGTGCGCCCGGGAGCCGAACCCGGGCCACCAGCAGCGGAGCGCATGCACCCAACCACTAAGCCACGGGGCTGGCCCCTCCAGGGGACTGCTACTAACTGACCATGCAGCAGGATGGCTTTTAGCTGAGCCTTGGCCACATATGGCCTGGGGCTCGTGCACATCAGAGGCCTTATGACTTTGTGAATAAAAACTAGGAAATGAACTTACTTAATAAGTTTGTGTTTTGTTAGATAGTCTTTCAGAGCTTGGGGTGTAATTAAAGAAGTTATTAATAGTATAAAGTTTGGAAGCTACCTTCAGTTCCCTTTACAGACAGGGAAACTGAAGTGTGGACTCATTTCCCCAAGCAAGACTCTTTTCAGGGCCTCAGAGATACTCGTTGTGCTCTGAGGCTCTGACTCCGGGTTTCCTGGTTTTCAGATTGACGCGTCATGCCTTACGTGGGAAGGACAGCAATTCCAGGGGAAAGCTGCCATTGTGGAGAAGTTGTCTGTAAGTAAGGGCCAGGGCAGGGCTGCAGGCAGCTCCTTCCCCATCCTGCTGGTTGCAGCCCACTGCCCACTCTTTCTCTTGCAGAGCCTTCCATTCCAGAAAATCCAGCACAGCATCACGGCACAGGACCATCAGCCCACGCCAGACAGCTGCATCATCAGCATGGTTGTGGGCCAGCTCAAGGTAACAGTGCTGCTGGGGAAGCGTGGGCAGGCAGAGGAGAGCCCTGCACCCCTGCGTTCCCTGGGATGTGACCTACTTATCAAAGGACACCCAGACAAAGTGACTGTCTAGAGCTGCGTGGTTCAGTACAATAGCCATCAGCCACATGTGGTGATTTTTAAATTACATTAATTAAAATGAAATAAAATTAAAATATAGTTCCTCAGTCATATAGCCATATTCCAAGTGCTCATAGTTACTTGTGGCTAACTATTGGCCAGTGCAGACATGGAACATTTCTGTTACTGCAGAAAGTTCTATTGGAAAGCACTGGTGTAGAGCCTTTTCGGAAAAGGGGCAAGAGGTCTAGGAGTAGGATGGGGCTGTGATGCCAAGCTACTTGGCCTTCACACCACCGCGAGGTGCAGTTGGGCCTTCTGTGGGCAGCTGACCCTGGACGGGCCAGCTGGGTGCTGAGTAGCACTGGAGTCCATGCTGCCACTCCCTGAGCTGGCTGCTGGCTCCTCTACTTGCTGAGCAAAGCAGATTCCTAGAACTCCTACTTCTCTTTGCATTTTCCCTTCTCCTTCTCAAGACCTGTCATCCTCAAAGCCTTCCTGCGGCCCCTCAGCCCCCCAAGAACTCTCCAGGAACTCCTGCCTGTTGTGCTCCAGCAGACTGAAGCCAGATTCTTGGTTTCCAAAAAGTTACTCCCCCTTCCCAAAGCAGGACAAATTGGCTGCCCGTTGACCAGGTTCCAACCTCCTGGGCCTGTGTCATGGTGGGGCTCAGAATAATAGGCCCACATGCCTCTCCCGAGGCTAGGCAGGGCTGTCTGAATCCAATACAAGGGTTGGGGGAGGGGCCCCCTAGGCCTCTGCAGTGGACCCAGAGGGACCTGCCTTCTGGTCTAGGCTTTCCTGTCAGTTTCTCCTGCCTGTTCAAGACACCTTGCCTAGAGCCTATGCTCAGCTAGGCCCTTGGGAATTTCTCCCCAAGGGGCTCTGTGCCCACTTTCCAGGCTGGGGTCACTAAGCAGTGCCCCTTCCCACCTGGCTTCAGGTTCTTTCTGTTGTTTCTGTTCAACTCAGAGCCCCCAGAAGACTGATTTGCCTCCTTGCTGATGATAATTCCCAGAAAAACCAGTGATGTTAGCAACAGTGCTGGTTAGCTGGGCTCATACCTCAACCAGGCCTCATCCTGGTCTTCTGTAGTTTGGCCGGAGGTCTCTTGCCTTTCTTTTTTCATTGCAGATATTATATATTACGTGGCAGGAAACAGATCACCTGATGGCAATGCTTTGGTTTTTTTCTCCCCATGGAGCTGTGATCACAGTGTGAACTCAGTTTTGAGCCTTTTCTCACATGCTTGACCACAGTCAGTATTAGCAGTAGCTTCTCCTGATTGGACTAACTGGCGTAATCAGACAATAAGATTGTTTAGTTTTTAGATACCCTAAGATATGTGGTGAGCACTGCAGAACTTTTCTAAATTGATCACTTATGCCAAGACGTGGGCTCAGAAGCAGGTATGTTCTCTGCTCTGTTGCTGTAGCTAACTGGTGAATTGTTCTGCAGTTTAAGTGCACATAGCAGTGAGAGCTGCCGTCTGTAGACTGCTGTGTGCCCAGTGCAGTGCTTCATACATTATATTAATTCACATTCACAAGTACCCCGGGGTTATACTGGAATTTGAGTCCAGGACAGTAGCGCCTGGTCCCAAAATCACCATTCTTTGCCTTGTCACCCTACCACTGAACTCGTTTCCTGTTCCTTGGCCCCCATACTGAATCATTTTCTCTCTCCTCACAGGCCGATGAAGATCCCATCATGGGGTTCCACCAGATGTTCCTATTAAAGAACATCAATGATGCTTGGGTTTGCACCAATGACATGTTCAGGCTTGCCCTGCACAACTTCGGCTGACCTCCTCCCAGCCAGGCACTAATGCTGTTTCCTCCTCCCTCCTCTTCCCAGTACTATTCACACTCCTCCAGATGCTCCAAATATCGTACACAAATGAGCAGGGCCCGGTGGGAGTGGGCGCAGTGCGCTGCTGCTACCGAGGTGTTGTGCATGATGTTTGGATGCTAGACTAGTTGCATCTGACAGGAGAAGTTTGTGTTGTACCAGCGCATGCCTTGGAAAGACTTAAGTAATGCAAAAGGTTGTCTCTCTTTTTTTTTTTTTTTTTAATCTACTGACAAGTTGCTCTAGTAACCCAAAGAAGTGAAGGAGAAAGCAGCTGCCTCACCGCCCAGATATTGATTTGTTCGGATGTTTCAATGCCTCATGATACAATAAAACCACGAAAATTTTCTTAACAGTTTAAATTGTTTTAATTAGTTTAATAGTTGGCTGGGCATCAATAACTACCATGCCCCATTAGTTCTCTCATGTCTCACCCTCCCACCTCTACCCCAACTCAGCAATACCTGTTGCAAGGAGAAAACTGCTAAAGCAGCACCACCAGCTAGCTCCTCTCAGAAGCCCTGTAGGGCCTAGTGTTCCCCTCCTCAGCCCACCTGGTCTTGGGAAGGTGAGCTGCAGATGGGAAGAGCTCAGGTCTGTCCCGAAGCTTCCCTTGCACTGAAGCCTCTGTAGTCCTGACACCTCCTGTGACCTCTACACTAGGTAAGGTCAGGGCTCTAGTAATAGGAGAGATGACCCAGAATCCTGTTGAAGAAGGAGAAGCCTTGGCAAAAGTGGCCTATCAGGTTCAGGCCCTCTGGACTAAGGGCTCAGCAAGAAGAAGTATGAGCAGAGGTTTGAGGGAGAGGGGCCTGTTCTATCCCCAGAAGGGTCAGGGTTACATCCAGGGTGCCCCACAAACCCCAAGCCAAGCAGAAGGCAGCTCAGATCCTGTACCACCTGCTTCAGAAATCATTGCGCAAAGGCGAGTGCCCAGAACAGCCAGCCTCCAATGCTGACAGAGCCAGGCCTGGTTGGATTGGAATATAGATTTAGAGCTATGAAAGAAGGCAGTCTGAGTCTGAGTTTGAGGGATTCGTGCTCTAGGACTTCTCACCCCTCAGACCTTTGCAAGGCATCTCTAGGCCTCCTCTTTCTATTCCCTCCCTCACCACACACACACCTTCACACTGTCTTCAAATCCCAGGAAGTCTTAGCTATTGGGGCAGTTTCTGCTCCTCAGTTTTGGAGACAGGCATTGCATAGTGCGAATCTAGCCCTTTGGCCCTGAGACCTCTGGTGTAAACCTGGTGGCAAGGTAGCAACCACAGGCTAGAGCCAAACCCAGGACTTGGGCTGGTGCCCTGTTAGGGGTTTTAGGATTGGTGAGGGCACCACAGCTGTACCTGACCTTCTGTACTCCCACCTTCCCTCCTGCACTATGGATGGAGGCCAAGGACTTCAGACCCCCACAGATTGCCTGGTTACGCTGGGCACAGGGCTGGATGATGTGTTGTTTGAGAAGACGGCATACTCAGGAGATTTTAATGGGACTGATTTCTGGGCTGCTGTGTATTTGGGGGTTAGGGGTCAGGGAGAGAGGTAGATGCCTTCTGCCTCTTACACCACCCTGTATAAAATCTGCAATACAGCTTCTTCCATGTACCTGTGCCTGAAATGTCTGCAATAAAGAGGTGTTTGTAATCTATGGTTTCTTTCTTCCTGCCTGAGAGTGCCAGGCCGTGCAAAGGGATGCTGGGGGACGTTAGGGAACAACGTGATGTTTTTGGCGGGACCATCTCCCCTGCCCTTGCAATTCCTGGGCCTTATGCCTTTGTCGGTCCCCTCAGGCCTTGGGTTATACTGACCCACTTCCCAAAGGGGAAATCAAGGCTTCTGCCAATTCATCTTGTTCCTGGGGGGTCTGAGGGACTGCAGCCTGGGTGCCTGAGTTGACCCCATCCTAGGCCCATTATGAGTCCATGCTCTGGGACTGGACATGGACCGGGTGGGATAACCTGAGGCGAGTAAGGCTTTGGGGGGCGCTTATGTGGACGTTTACTCTGCCTCAGCCCTGCGGAACTCCCTCCGACCCTGTCGGCATTGGGCCTGGGCCGCCAAGGGGGACGGGCTCTGGGAGGGGAGAGGCATCCGCCCCCAGTCCGGAACCTTTCTTCTACGTCCCGCGCAGGTTCCGGGAGCCGAGGTCGGACGGGCCGGAAGTGGAGGCGGTTGGTGGGGTTGGCGGGGCTCAGGGACGCGGCGCAGACGGCGGTTTGTGGGTCACGGGTGGAACGAGTGTAGTGACCGGCGTTCGGTTGTCTGGCCCCGGCGGGGCTGTGCGCGGCTGGACGGTGCGCGGCGACAGGGAAACGAACGCGCCGCAGACGGGGTACCCGCGGCTGGGCCCATGGCCTCCTCCTGTGCAAGCATAGACATCGAGGACGCCACGCAGCACCTGCGGGACATCCTCAAGCTGGACCGGCCCGCTGGGGGTGAGACAAGACAACGAGGGTGGGCCCTCGGCGAGCGGGCAGGAGGGCGGCGCAGGCCTGGGAGTCCTCAGGGCCCGCAGATCCCTCAGGACTGGCTCTGCATCCTCTCGGTTAGCGAGGGCAGACGAGGGTGGAAGCAGTAAATCCCTGAGTGTGCTCCCCGAAGGGCGTAGATCCCCAGGTGCGATCCCTTCTCATCCCGGAGCCAGGCCATTCTGCCTCGTCCTTCAGCGTCTTGGCTGAAGGTGAGGCTCCTTCTCTGAATCCGCAGGGCTCCCCTGGTGTCCTGGCCCCAAGGTCTCTAGTATTCCTGAGACTGGCCCGGGTTCCCTACCCTTTTGCCGTATAGTTCAGAGGCCTAGTCTGGGCTCTGTATGCCAAGTTCTGGGTCTAGACCTAGGCACTGTGCTGAGGAGCCGTAGATCCCCTTCTGCAACTTGCCCTTCCTTCTGGAATGCAGATTCCAGGACTACTGTTCTGAAATTGATTTTCAGGAGGAATGTGACCAGCCCCAATTCCATGATCTTTGTGGGATTAAGGCAAATCACAGACTGCACAACCCTGACTGGATTAAGCTACAAACATCTGCAAGCCCTAGTTTATTTCCATTCATTTAAATTTTACTTGGGCTTGCAGTGATACCTCAGAGCTGTTCCTGCCCTCAAAGAGCCCCCAGGACACAGAGAACTAAGGAGGTTGTCATGTAGTGCTGTTGTCACTGAAAGAGAGGGGTGTTTTGGTATTGTGGTGGGGTGGGGTCTGGAGAGTGCCTGAGAACAGATCAGAGAGAGAGGAGACAATGTTTAGGCTAGGTCTTATAATATGATTGGCAGCTTGGGTGTCAGGAAAGGCATTCTACAAAGAGGAAATAGCACGTGTGAAGGTACCAAAGTTTCCTGGCAGGTTCAGGGACCAGTGAAAAGTTGAAGTGGTTGGAAGATTGGCTGGTGATGGTGGTGGGGGTGTGCAGTGGCCAGAGCTGAGAAGTGGTATTTCCTCAGACCCTGCTCTTAAACCTGCTGGGAGGCCCAAACTGGCTGCTTTTGGAAGCAGGCACTGGTGCTCACTCAGGGTGGGTTTAGCTACTCCCTACTCCCTGAGAGAATTGATCTGCTGCCTGAAACTACTGAGCCCTTTGCCCCAGGCCTGGAGTGTGTGGTCCCTTTACTGAGGAGCTTGGCTTGGGCCTCTCATGGTCATCAGCTGCTCTGCAGACTAGACTCCACTAAGGTTTGGTAGAGCCTGACATGGCCAACTTGTGCAGCTTGTTTGTTTGTCCTTGTGGTAGCCTGCCTGGGAGGGAGAGTGGGCGAAGCGGCCTGGAGGCTTTCCTTTTAACTCCTTGTTTATTGATTGGTACTTGATTCTCCTGTTTGCCAAGTAGTTCTTACTTGTCTCCTCTCACTGGAGGACCATGTCAGACCCCAGACTGTTATGTGACTAGAAACTTGCCATGTTCCTGGATCCCTAGTCTCCTCGCCACCTGGGAGTTTTGGAGTGGTGTCTGAGCCTGTGAGGGTGCTTGAAAGTCAGCTGATGGCAAACAACTGAAGTGGTGTTCCCGGGCTCCACCCCCTACCCCAACTCCTCCTCTTCGTTTCTCTCTTCTTTGTCCATCTCCTTCATGTCCATTTCTCCTAAGTTTACCTGCCCAAGGTTGCTTCTTCTGAGCCATTTCTGTGTGGGGTAGGCTCCTTCCTTTCTTACTTCCACATCTTATCAGTGTCCTTTGACTCCTTAGGAGTCCATCCTCTTTTCTCCAACCCCTGCCACCTTGGTCTAGGCCCTGGTATCTCTCGCCCAGATTCTCAACTATCCTGCATGCTGGCTTAAAGCAGTCAGTCCTCTGACCATAGCAGACCACATCACCTTCTCATTTAAAATTCTTTTGTGGCTCTCACTGCCACAGGGAGAATCTAAGCACCCCAGCACCATACCTGAGACCTCTGCAGCCTTGTTTCCCCTCCATCCTTCCCATGTTTGTGTGTTCCAGCCACACTGGCTCCCCCTTGAAGTCTGTCCTGATCCTTCCCATGCCCTCCCACAGAGTTCCTCTGTGCTGACCTGGGCCTGAGTATTCATTGGTGTCAGAGGGTTTTTGATGGCTTGTCCCCCTCCCACAGGTAGAAGAGCCTTATGCTCATCCTTCGTCCTGGCATAAACTGGGTTCACCATTAGTGTTTCTGGAGAGATGAACAAAGGACCCTTCTCCTCAGTTGAGTGTTCCTAGAGCACCCCATGGTTCTTGAATGAAGCTCTGCAGGACAGGCCAGTGGGCAGGTGGAACAACCTCATCAGAGTGGCCCTTTCTGTCCCCAGGCCCCAGTGCAGAGAGCCAGCGGCCATCTAATGCCTACAATGGGGATCTCAACGGGCTCCTGGTCCCAGACCCCCTCTGCTCAGGTGATGGTACTTCAACAAACAAGCCTAGTCTCCGGGCCATGCCACCTATTAATCTGCAGGAAAAGCAGGTCATGTGAGTGTCTGGGAGATGGCAGTGATGATGATGGGGTCTTTGGGGCATCTGCTAGCTGAAGGCATGAGATGGGGGAGAGAGAGGCCTCTGCTGCTTCCCCACTAGATGACAGGGGGTGGAGCATTTAACCACATTGAGTTTGCACTAGGTTGAGGGGCAAGGACATGCCCAAGTGTTTGGCCTGGATCTGAAGTTTGGGCTCCTGGTTTAGCATGGAAGTAGGCCTATTCACAGGAAGGAGGTTAGCAAGGGGAGCTGTGGGTTTGGGGACCAATGGACCAGGCAGAGCTAGGCATCTAGGACATGACACTTTCACCAGAGTAGCTATATTCTCTCCTCCTCCCAACCCTGCGTATTGAGACTTTGGGTGAACAAGAGTCAAGCTTGTGCACCTCTGCCTGCAGCTGCCTCTCAGGAGACGACAGCTCCACCTGCATCGGGATTTTGGCCA